CTCAGTGGTAGAGCGTCGGTCTGCGGACTGAAAGGTCCCAGGTTCGATTCCGGTCAAGGGCACCTACAATGGTTGCGGGCACATCCCCAGTAGGGGGTGTGCAAGAGGCAGCTGGTCGATGTTTCTCTCTCATCGACGTTTCTAGCTCTCTCTCTCTCTCTCCCTTCCTCTCTGTAAAAAATCAATAAAATATATTAAAAAAAAATTCTGACCTCTTTTCCTTTAGACTGTCAAATCAAAACAGAACAGCAGCCAACACAATAGCCGTCTGTGTGAATGAACTGACATCTACTGGGAATCCTCTTTGCAACAATTTTTTTGTCAGATCAGCAAAAAGAAGAAAAAAATAATAAATAAAAATATTTTATGCCAGTTTTAATTAGTTTGTGTACTTGAGTTGAAAAAGGTTGAAAACCAGTGGTATAGTTTAATTTCTCTTATATTAAATAAAAAAGTCAGTAGGAATGTTTATGTGGTTAAGTCCTTCATTTCCCCAGCCCAGTCAATGTTTTCTGGTTCTTGCCTGAAAATTAGTGCATCACAGACTAGCCACATATTCTCAGAATAAAGTACATATTTCAACCAATCTCATTAAACATACAGCTATTCCTTAGTCCCCAAGTATTTCTGTAACATTACCTAAACACTAGTACTTGTAAAGTTTAGTTTGTCACCTGTTGTTTTACTTTCCTGTCATACCCCTAGGCTTTGCTGCTACAATAAATTGTCCAACAGATCCCTTTGACATTTTATAATTACTGGATGGCTGAAATGACAGTGAATTTTCTTTTCCCTCCATTACATTCTCAGTCCTCATCTGACCTGTTTATTCCTTTCCAATTTACCATACCTTGCTGTTCTTGTTTGCATTTTCTTTTGTTGCACCTAGTTTCCTCTGTAAGAGGTTTAAGAACCTGCACAGACTAGTACTAATCTTATAATCTTTATAGGCTTAGGATGTTAAGATAACATTTGAACTGAATCTACTGGGAAACATTTCAACTATGAAGGCATTCAATTCACAGTAGCTTGAGAGCAAGAGGATAAAATGACTTTTCCCCATGAAAGCCTAAACACATCTTTTGTCAATAATCCTGTGTGTGCAGATGGATGGATGATCATTCCTCTAGCTATTAGTTATTCCTCAGTTTCTTTCAATAATTAGTTTGGAAGGAATTGGAAATACACTTTTGCTTTAGCTGGTTTGGCTCAGTGGATAGAGCGTCGGCCTGCAGACTGAAGGGCCCTGGGTTGATTCCAGTCAAGGGCATATGCCTGGGTTTTGGGCTCCATCACAGGATGGGGGAGGGAAGGGCAGGAAGTGGTCAATCAATGATTCTCATCACTGATGTTTTTCTCTCTCCCTCTCTAAAATCAATAAAAATTAAAAAATGAACAAAATAGACACTTTCCCCTAGGCCAGTGTGGCTTAGTTGATTGGGCATCATTCGTGCACTCGAGGGATTGCATATGCCTAGGTTGTGAGCTTGATCTCAAGTAGGGGGCATTCAAGAGACAATCAATTGAAAAAAAGTTCTCACACCAATGTTTCTCTTCTTTCTTTCTAAAAATCAATAAAAATGTTTTAGCCTGGCTGGTGTGACTCAGTGGTTGAGCATCTACCTATGAACCAGGAGGACACGGTTCAGATTCCTAGTCAGGGCACATGCCTGGGTTGTGGGCACAATCTCCAGTAGGGAACATGCAGGAGGTAGCCGATCAATGATTCTCTCATTATTGAGGTTTCATCTCTCTCTCCTTTCCTCTCTGAAATATATTAAACAGGTGTTATTAGTATTTTAGAACACTGACCCCCCTTTCAAAGAATTCAGCTAAGCATCCTATTTTGCCATGAGTTATGTGTAAAAAGTGAGTTTGTTTAGCACAGGAAATCACATGACTGGAAAACAAGGTGGGTAGTAGTATATTTGGTCAACTTAACACAAAAGCTACTTTTATACTTTGATCTCAGACCCAAGGGCAGCCCATACTTCAGCCTCTTTCTATTCTGCTTTGTTATATGATGATTTAGGAGATTCTTATAAATAGAACTTAAGAATTCTGGGTGTACCCTATGCCTAAAAATCATTGCAAGTAATTGGGGAGGAGTGCACAAAAATTAGTTAATATGAATTAAACTAAATCAAAGTAAAATAAAGTTTGTAAACCCCACTATGTTCTCAGTTTTCTATTTTCAGTAACACTGGGGCAAAGACTCAGAATCCAGAAGATAACTGGTGCTATAAACAGTAATTGAAAGGACAAAAATGGAAGAAAGCAATTTTCATTCTCCAGTTGTTTCAATTTCCCTAAAATACTGACATGTTTGAATCTCTTCTTTTAAGGATGAAACAACTTAACACACAACAAATATCTCAAAAAGGGCACAACTGGACCACAAAGCATTGGTGGAAAAGCTTAATCTATTTCTCAACCCTCCCCCCCCCCCAAAAAAATTAGGGCATAAAAGCAATTTTGAAAACCCTCTATTCCACAGTTACTTTTCTCCTTAATGTTAACACTCACTCCAATGAAATATAATTTTTTGAGTAGTGTGTGTTGTTATGCTCAATGATTATGATTTAAGTAAAAATATGTGGTACATTGTAGGGGTTTTGTAGAAACCTCTGTGAAACAAAGTATTTGAAATAAATATAAAATACGAAAATAAAAAAAACCAGGGTTTTTCCCCCTCCAAATTCCTGGTTTAATAAGGATGTGTTTATTGAGAAAAAAACGGTCCCAAACATCAGGCTGTTCACAAAAATAACCCACAGTATCAACTTTAAAAAACAAATCTTAAGACTATTACACTATTTACCTAGAGGATGCATTTGACATGCCAACTCTCATTCACAAAAATACATTGTTACATTTGTGTTGAACAGCCCCACATAGCACTCTTATATGGGGTATAACACATACCTCTAACTCAAAGCTGCTCTCAGGTGCTACTCAACTAATGCGATTGCCTTTGCAGTTAGGGAAGCAACTAGTGAACTCATATATGAATGAAAAGAACTGTACTCCCTACATAACAAGAGATTATTTTGGAGACAGTTGATAAAAACCATACATCCTTTTTATTGTTAAGTCATAAAGAGGTATCAAAATTAAAAGCAAAAATTACAGGTTAAGACTTAACACAACTACTAGGAGCATCAAAGGAAGTGAAAATGGGACTAGGCGCAGGGCAATATGAATGAATGAACATGGGAGGGTCAAGATAGGGAGAACAGTAAGCATGTGCTGAAGGTACTAGGGAGAGGATCTGGTGAAAATTTTGATCTTAGACAAGCGCCTAGATAAAGAAATAATGGGACAACATTTCTAAACCCCACTATGTGCTTAAGAGTCATCCTCGCCATTGGCGCTGTCTCTGTCATCCTCTCCTTCCTCAGCCTCTTTTTCATCATCCTTGATCAACTCCAGCTGTGAGAAACAGACACAAACAGGATGGAGTTAGAGGCACTCCATGTGTCCCTTATCCCCCCTCCACCACCTTTTTCTTTCCTTTCCCATGGTTTTCACCTGGTCATCCCCCCGATCTTCATTATCATCATCATCCAGTAGGTCCCCCTCCTCAGCAGAGTCCTCTGCACCCCCCTCGGACTCCATCTTCACATTAGTCTCATCTTTCTTCAGGGAGCTGGTGGTCTGCTCCTCTTCTGTCTTATCATTCTTCATCTCTACTGGGGACGAGAAGGACAAGTCTGTCCAGGGATATTAATGTCCATAGGGTATAAACAATCCCCATTAATCAATACAAAACTTCAGCACAAGCCTAATTCCTCCCACACAAATGCCCTTCCCAATCCAAACTCCCCAAGTTTTACATTCAATTGCTTTACATCCACTATTCCAATATATACTTTCAATTACCTTACGTAACTAACCCAATTCTACATCCCCCCAAAAGTAGCAGTACCATTTACCTGCTTGTTTGCTCTGTTCCTTTTCAATTTTTTCCAGGCTTTCCAGTAGATAATCCACTTTCTGTTTTATCTGGGTCAATTCCTTCTTAATGGCCTGAAGGTCATCTCCTTTCACTTTTAAAATAAACAAAACCTTAGATGAGAATCAAATGTATCAGAAGCTACAAGTTACCAAAAACATTCCTACCACTTTATACATTAGTAGCCAACAGGAAATCCCTAGGGAGAAATGGTATTAGTATCAGTTTGTCTCAGCTAAGAGGACTTTTCAATCTTATAGCCGATAAAGGAAAATTCAATCTCCATTACCAGTAGCATTCTGACTTTTGTGGACCTGCTAAAGACTTCAATTCATTTTTAAAGAACTTTCTCTGTACAGTTTTACTGACATACATCACACAAATTTTAACAGGTGCCTCAACTCCTTGAAGTATTCAAATTACCATGGTCTTAAGAAAAGAAGGCAATCTAGAGTTGGTCCCTTCATTATATTACCTTCTTTTATTATGCAAAGGCTTTTGCACAAAAAGTGAAATTATAAGCAGCATTAATTTCATTATTTCAACATAGAATAAATACCACAAAGCTGCAATAATACTTACACTTTGCAGACTTGGAAGAAGATCCTCGCTGTCCACTCTTAGAATTGAAGCCACTTTTGCCCCTTCGTGATGTATTTCCTGATACACGTTGGCGTTTTGAGGGCACTACAGCCCGAGCAATAGGAGGAGGAGGAGGAACACGTGCTGGGTAACTGTACATCCTATTGGGTAAGAAGAAAACAGGATTCCTTCACACCTAAATTAAGTCTGCAAGACCAAACAACTGTTAACTTATAATAAATTAGCCCAGCCATTGTTGACTACTGTTTGAGCGTTGACCCGTGAATCAGAGGTCACAATTTGATTCCTGGTTCAGGGACACATACCCAGGTTGTGGACTCGGTCCCTTTGACCGGGAGGCAGCTGATCAATGATTGTCATCACTGATATTACTATCTCTCTCTCCCTTCCTTTCTGAAATCAATAAAAATATATTTAAAAAGTAATAAAATAAAATTAATGTATAGTCTCTCAATCACATCTTTAAACACACACACACACACACACACACACACACACACTCCTCCTAGTAACTATAATATAATCAGTCCACTCAAGAAAGATACAACCAACAAAGGTGATCTGAGCAAATGCAAACTTTCTTCTTATTTAAAATGTCACCTTAGGCAACACAAAAGAGCCATCTCTTAGCTTTTCCAAGTAGCCCAGAATCCTCTTATTCTCTTAATCACATGCCTTTCCAAGAAGGTGCAGCATTGCTCAGGAATATTTTTAAAAAACGAAAGAAAGGGGGGAGGCAAAATGATAACTCCTGCCCTAGCTGGTTTGGATTCTAGGTTTGATTATGGCCAAGGGCATATATCTTGGTTATGGGCTCATTTCTCAGTAGGGCGTGAGCAGGAGTCAGCCGATCAATGATTCTCTCTCATTATTGATGTTTCTCTCTCTCCCTGTCTTTTCCTAAGTCAATAATAATTTAAAAAAAGATAGCTCTTCTAACCCCAATAAAATTGAGTTAATCCAAAATCTAAAACTTTGAGAGCCTAGAACAAAATAAGGGCTCAAGTATTAGTTTAAGGAATAGATGGTTAGCTTCTTTCACCCATCTTGCAATTCAATGGAAACTCTACCACCACTGTATAAACTATTTTTCTTTACCTTTGATCAATACACCTTCCTGGAAAAGATCTGTAGAGTAAGAATCAACAAAAAAATTGCTTGACCTCTCTTCATGTAACCTTTATCATATAATCATAGTCATAAAAGAGAAAATCTCAACTATACTGGATTCTTCTCTCCCACAAAGCATCTACTTATGTAACTTTAATTCTCATCAAGACCTCTCATTTCTTTGTCTTTTTTTTTTTTTAAGAAATATATTTTATTGATTTTTTTTTTTTACAGAGAAGAATAGAGAGGGTGAGTTAGAAACATCAATGGAGAGAAACATCGATCAGCTGCTTCTTGCAAATCTCTTACTGGGGACATGCCTGCAACCAAGATACATGCCCTTGACTGGAATCGAACCTGGGACCTTTCAGTCTGCAGGCTGACGCTCTATCCACTGAGCCAAACAGGTTAAGGCAAGACATCCCATTTCAATAATTACAATGGTAACTACTTGCACCTTTCCTCCCCTCCAGTTCCTCTTTTCTAGCCATGGGGCTGTTTCTAAGTTATCAGGATATCGGATAAAATTCTTTCATGTGCCATACAAAACCATTTACAATCCTCGTTCTTCCCAACTACAGGTGGCTACTTTCCCCAAATACCCAGATATATTCACAACTCTGCATCTTTATTAAAGTGAAACCTTTTCACCCTATCTACCTAAATGCCCTCTACCCATTATCAAAGCAAGTTCAAATACAGCCCTTTGTGAAACTAAATGGGGCTCTTTGAATCTTAATAGGGAAGCTGATAGCTACCCAAAGGGCAAGGCAATTCATCTTTCTATGAGACAATCCTCTACAATGCAGGATACACAGTCCCTGTTCATACAAGTGTCGTATTTGATTTATGAGTTGATGTATTTCATTCCCCTTTCTAATCACGGTATGGTGGCATATTTACCTAACTAGAGGTCCGTTGCATGAAAATAATGCACTCCTGGGGGGGAGGGGGAGATCTCCTCAGCCTGGCCTGTGCCCTCTTGCAGTACAGGAGCCCCCGGGGGATGTCCAACTGATGCAGGGAGAAGCTCCTGCCACCACCACTGTGCTCACCAGCCATGAGCCCAGCTTCTGGCTGAACAGCGCTCCTCTGTGAGAGCACACTGACCACCAGGGAGCAGCTCCTGCACCGAGTCGCAATCTCACCCAGTCTCAATAGGCCGGACCCAGGCAGCAAGCTAATCTACCAGTAGAAACATCTGTCCCCTGATGGTCAGTGCAGGTCATAGCAAGTGGTTGCACAGCTTTAACCTATCATTAGCATATTACTCTTTAAGTGGTTGGACAGCTGACCAGATGACTGGACACTTAGCACATTAGGCTTTTATTATATAGGATACTATATTGCCTAATATTATACAGATTCTAATGATCAGTAATTTCAAAAGTGCATATTGAAAATTAATGTGAAAAAATATTTTAAATAAATTACAAAAGTTAAGAATCTGAAAAGAAACAACTGCAAAGTATTTCAATGGAACTGTTCACACAAGAAGTTATCTATAAAGAATTGCTACAGGAACAATTTTTCTAAAAACAAACAAAAAAAACTAAACAGGACACAAATGAAACTGGATCTTTGTCAGGACCTTCTAGGTTTATTAGATCTTCAACATCAACAAACGTTTTGCACACAAGGGCAACTTATACAATTACCCTAGTTTTATACATCAATTCCCATAAATACTCATCCTAAAAGAAAAGACTATTTTGGGCTTATATTCATACCATAAAAAAATTATGTTTGTTAATAAATCTTTGGATAATTACAAACTATGTATGATCATGAGTTTATAGTGTATTTGGAACAATTATAGTGTATCTGAATCTCAGATATTAATTTATTTAAAATTGTAGTTTCACATAGACAATTTCTGTTGAATTCATAAGAACTTTCACACCTGTAACATCAGCAATGGCCTTAGGAACGCAAATCCAAAATTCCACAAGAACAAGATGGCAAAGCAAAAAGGTCCATTAAAGTCTTCCAAAGAAGATAATCTTTAATGATTTCAGGCTAACAGTTCTTAACACATACACATACACACACTGAAAACCAGTAACCTTCCTGGGGTAACAGGCAGCAGCATTAGGGACACAGAATCCAAATCTGTGTTGTCTCATGCTCAGAAGACAGCATATTAAAATGTCAGTGATTCAGACAAGTTTTATTGTTTGATTATCCTCTCCAGTTTTAAAGGTATTTATTTACAATCATTGGGACTCAACTAATTAATATCAAATATACAAATCACTGCAATTCTAACAAAACAGTAAATAACTGGTTTCCTGATATTAAAAATTTATGTTTTCCCCTACAAAACACCTACTACCATATTCCTTAAGTTTATATCAAAACTCCGGCTAGGCCTGGTGGGTGTGGCTCAGATGGTTGTGCATCATCCCGTGCATGGAAAGGTTGCCAGTTTGATTCCTGGTCATGGTGCATGACTGGGTTTCAAGGCTTAATTCCTGATAAGGGGTGTGTAGAAGGCAGCAGATCAAGCCCACACCTGGGCAGGTGATTGGGAATTGAACTGTGACCTCCAGGATCATAGGTTGATGCTCAACCACTGAGCCACGCTGACCAGGTGGTACCTTCTTATAATAAAGAACACAACATAGTTGACTTAGGATCACTAATTAGGATTAACAAATATCTTAACCTTACAAATAAAGTAACTTCAGAAAAACTTCTGAGTAAAAGAAATACTATACTTGACCAACTCTTTAGTAGCTATCACTTGTTTATTCCATTAGTCTTCAGATTAGAATGGAAGGGGGAAGACTTTACTTTTAACTGATACACCATATCATCGAACAATACATTAAAGAGTAACTAAAGGCATTCTCTTGCCTCTTTAAAAACAAAGAGGCCAACAGTATGTTTCCATCAATTTTTAGGACTAAATAGCAATGGTAAGAAATTTGAAGATATTTCTGCAAACATTTAAATTTCTTCACTATTCTTGACTGTCTGTCTCTTTTTTTATTAAGTTTTACAAAATTCCTCACTTAAAACTATTTTTCCAAACATGCAGGATTGTCCCCAAAAAAATGTATACACAATTTAACAACTGATAGGTCGATTGATACTGCATCTTGGCAGATTTAATACATTGGAATAATTCAAAGTGTATATACATTTTGGGGAGATACCTTGTATTTACATTGTGAGATGATAGGGATGTTCAAAGTTTTGCTGCCTTACCAAGACAACTAAACTAAAACTTCAGAAGACTGTTTTCATAAGACAGGGTTACACTGTCTGAATTTTACACATATAACTAGAACCTCAATGCACAACATTCGTGCAAGAGGCTTTCCTTCCCAGGGCTGCCTCACAGCCCCAGCTTCATCTGAAAGGTCCTCCAGAAGGACATCTGGTCTAATTAGCATATTATGCTTTTATTATTATAGATTTGAAAAGTTTCTTACCTAGAGTTCATAATACTCCAGAAATTATATCCATATAACATGTATTAAATTTTTCTAAGAGGTGTCACGACAAAGAAATGGGAAATAGTCACAGAATTAAAACTACTTTCTTATTCTATGTTATCAATGATTCTCAACCATCCCAGGACATTAGAATTCCTTGGGATCCTTAAAAAACATACACCAATAAAGAATCTACCTAAACCAGCTGTTTAAAAATCACTACAGGTGTACTTGGGCATGTGTATTTTTTAAATGTGGCCAAGAGATTCCTATGGTAGTGGATAAAGAATAACTACTTCAGACAAATTCAGTTATTCACAAAATCTCAGGACCTTTAAGTCACTCTATCAGTGACCGAATTTTCCCAGATCTGTTCTCCCAACTAAGGTTTGCCATTTTTATAATTTTAATATTATTGAAGTAGAAAACTATGTGTTTTAACAAAAAAACAAAAAAAATCTGAAATCCCTGAAGACAAATGAAATAATCATTTCATGATGTATGAACAAGATTTAAATCACACAACCTTATGGCATTCAAGGATTTTTACAATGTAGATTCAAAACAAATTTTTCAGTCTTACTCCTTTGGCCTTTCAATACTTTAGCTACCATAGTCTATGTGATATTTCTCAATCACAAAGGCACTTACACTTATTTATCAAGTCCAATGTATGAGTATGGTCAAATACTACCATATAATGCATAAATTAAAAAGTTCCAAACTAAATATACCTAACTAGAGGCCCCAGAGCATGAAATTCGTGCACAGGGTGGAGAGTCCCCTCAGCCTGGCTTTCCCCCTTTCCAATCCGGGATCCCTCTCATAATCCAGAACCACTGGCTCCTAACCACTCACCTGCCAGCCTGCCTGATGTCCCTAATTGCTGCCCCCACTAACTGCCCTACCCTGCTCTCCCTTCCTCTCCATGCCCTTCAGACCCCTGCCGCAGGCATGCTGAGAGCTCTTGGCCACAGCCCCACCATGTCCTGATAGGTTACGTGATGGTGTTGTGACCAATTTGCACATTCCTCTATTGTTAGTATAGCTGTTTCCTTAATTCCCGAAGATTATCTGAATGCCAATATTTTCTGCATATCATACCACTACTCAATAATTAATTCCTATTATCAGTTGGAGGTGGAAGAGGGCATAGAGGAGATAAAAGGTGATGGAAAAAATTAGAATAAAATAAAATTTAAAAATTAAAAATAAAAGCCATCCATAACCTATCCCTATCCACACATCTTTCAATTTTATTTCTTAAGCAATCTCAAAAAAAATATTAATGTTGTTCTGAAGACACAATAAGCAATCATTATTACAACCTCCTTATCTTTCATTCATTCATTCATTCATTTTTAATTGATTTCAGAGAGAGGACACGAGAGGGAGAGAAACAACAATTCTGAGAGATAATCTATCATAGATTTGCCATCTCCATTGGGATACAGTCCACAATCCAGACATGTGCCCTGACATGGAATCAAACGATAGCCTCTTGGTTCACGGTTTGACGCTCAACCCTGAGCAACAATGGCCAGGCCAACCCCCTTACCTATTAAAACTATATCACCATGATTCCTAATCTATAATATAATCTTAACACTCTAACATTAACTCTTAACGCAATTTGTATTGTCAATTCACTATATATATTGGTTATAGCATATTGTGTTTTAGTTGGTTTGCTTAAAGTTCACTTTACAATAAAGTTAGGTATCATTTTTTAAATTTTACTGTAATCCCATAGAATGCAAAACCAAGTGGCAAGTATGCCATAGGGAAATAATGAAGAAACATATAACTGCTATTTAAGTCTCATTTCATCATTAGGTAAGTCAGAAAGTCCTTTTATTTGGCATACAAATTAAAACAAAAAGAAAACTGACGTTTCAAGAAAAAAACTTAAGTCTAGAAAATATTTGACATGTCCCAACATGCCCTAAAGATATATAAACTGATTCTTTGAAATCAATAGAAACTTCACCTTACTAGTCTACCTCAATCTGCAGAAGGGAAGTATTTTTCATTTTGTTTTTGACAGAAAGAAATTTTGTTTGAAAATATATTTATGTTGTTCATTACTACAAAATAGAAAAACAAAATGATTCTCACTAGGTGCTTTTTATCAAGATAGGCAAAAAAAACTTTTAACATACCTGTCATAATAATCCCGTTGAAAGTCATAATCCAAGTCAAAAGAGGAGCTGAAAAATGAATACCAAAGAGCATTAATTTGAAGCCATTAATGTCAATTCACAACAGCAGATAGGGGAAAAAACCCCAAAGCCCATGCCAAGCCAACCACAACTAAGAGATCAACAGATTAGCATGGAACAACTTCCAATCATTCAAATATCACCGAATTCTAAGCATCTTAGGCCACTGAACATGCAGTGGACAAATTCAAATTCAGGTGAAAGTTTTGCTAAAATTTCAACACACTACATTATAGCCAAAATAAGAACACTGAAAATTACAATAGTAAACTAAACATTCTTAGGCCATCTTCCCTTTCTTACTCCTCAGCTCCTGAGAAGCTAAACGCCTCTTGAAGAATAATATAATTTATGCTAAATGTCAAAGTATTCTTTAATAGCCGAAATCTCAGGGAAGTCTAATAATTTTATGGGAAATGGGTGAATAGAAGTATATTAACAAAAAATTAATATAGCATTACTTTGATACAGATAAAACACACTACAATTAGCCCTCCCATATCAAGAAAAACAGATAGAGAATATGCCCACTGATGGACACAATGGAGTTATAAATAATAAAGTTCCGGACCTGAGTAGAGGGGACGGAGAAGGGTGTTCTGGTACTGACCCGTACATCTCCGCTGCAGATCGTTTCACACCTGCTTTTCCTCGGTTCACTTTTGGCTCTGCAGCCAGATTAATATCTGGAAAAAAAATTTTTTTTAGTGTTAACTCTGTTGGGATTTTTAAAAGTATACATAAGTCATATAAATAAGCAAAGATCTAATACTGTAACCTTTCCTTTAACACTCAAGAATTTTTTATAAGATTGGAACTTAATCTTCCATTCCTTCTGTACCAAAAAAGTTTTCATTATTTATATAACACACTAAGTTTGTCTTTGGTACCTACCATGCTCAGCTCTTATTTCAATGCAATGCTTACCATTCAGAAGACCCATTTTGTTCACTTAGTTACTCTCACAGGAAAAAAGTATCAGTGACTAATAGTTGCCTTTCCAGAAATGACTATGTATATTTTAAATTAAACAAATATATTAGAAATGAATGACCTCAGAGATTTTATATGGCAGTTCATGAATTAATATAACTATGGTACCCTTAAATTTCTCCAAAGACAAATCTTTATTCTTCTTACTAGTAGAACCAATTCTTAAAAGTTGCAAGTACTTTACAGAAATGCTTAACCACCTGTACATGCACATACATAAATACATACCAAGAAAAGGGAAATAAAGGAGAGAAGGAAAAAAATACCCTAATATATATATATATATATATATATATATATATATATATATATATATATATATATATACATACACACACACACACACACACACACACACACACACACCCCTAAAATAAAGTTTCCTGTCTGGGAGTTTGATTGCTTGCTATGACGTGCTCTGAATACCAGGGGGAGGCATGGCACGAAGGAAGGTAAAGGCAGGGAGCCAGCAGCCACAAGGGACCCTACCTAAGATTACATGCACTGGGCCTCTAGTTCCCATATAAAACGTAAATATTTAAAACACCCATTCTGGCAGCCAACTACTTAGCCTGCCGATCCAATGCCTACCAAAGAAGAGTTCATGTGCTTCCTCATTAACAAGAGGCCACTGTAGTTCTTTTAAAATTCAACTCATCAAATAACCAATTAAAATCAGATATTTAGTACATTGTCTTTTTGCTAAATAGACAATTTATGTATAATCTTCAGTTCTTGTCCCACTAAATTCATTTCTAATTTTTTAAAAATATATATTATCAATTTTTTACAGAGTGGAAGGGAGAGGGAATTAGAAACATCAATGAGATACACCAATCAGCTGCCTCTTGCACACCCCTTAATAGGGATGTGCCCGCAACCGAGGTACATGCCCTTGACCAGAATCAAACCTGAGACCCGCAGGCGAATGCTCTATCTACTAAGCCAAACTGGTTAGGGCCATTTCTAATGTTTAATATCTAATGTTTATAAAGGCCTTGTGCTTGTACAGTTTTAACTATAGTCATTTATAACATTAAAGATAGGAATTAAATT